AGGTGATGTGGGATTCCCCTCTATATGCTGTGAATATGTTTTATTATCATTGGTTAATAAAGAATCTGATTTGTGGCTTTTGCAATGCAGAATAGAGCAATGTGGGAATTCTAAGCTGAGCTAGAGGAGAAAAGAATGTGGAGTCAGAGAGATGCCATGGAGGTGCCGAAGGAGACAGAGGCCCCAGAACCTTACTGGTAAACCATGAGCCTTGAGGTAAAGTATAAAAAATGGAAAATTTGGGTTAATTTAACATATAGGAGTTAGCTAGCAATATGCCTAAGTTATTGGCCAAAACATGTTGTAATTAATATAGTTTCTGTGTTATTATTTTGGGTCTGGGCATCCAGGTACAAACGAGCAACCTCCACATATATTTGGTGTTAGCTGTTGGCTTGCAGTATATTGCCTTTATTATGTTTAGGTATGTTCCTTGTGTCCCTGCTGTCTTCAAGACCTTTACCATGAAGGGATGTTGTACTGAACTAGTGATGTGTGTAAAGTGCATGACATGCCAGAAATAGATTTCCATGCAAGTTAATTTTGCATTTTCCTGTCTCTTACCCAGTATAGAGGATTGTGGGTTGTGATTCTTAAATCTCACAATTTTACGTGATAATTATCAAATTAATGGAACTTTACAGAAATTCCCTTTTTTACTTTGAGTATCTGGCCAAAAAGAATTTTAGAAAATCAAATTGTCTAATATGATTTTCAAAGTATTGTACACCATGTCTGGCTTTCTTACTGCCTAAGCTGAAAAATGGATATAAGATTGTCCCTTTCTCTCTATCTGAATGTCTTTCCTTCCTTGTTTCTGTCTGTTGCATCTTCATTCAGGCTGACTGCTGTTTAGAACATCTGGTTGTGCACATGTTATCTTCTAATGTATTCTCTATAGTCCTGGATCAATCTTCTGAGCCACACCCCTCAATTTATCTTGCTATTTTAACAGACTCCTTTTTATAACCAGCTCCCAGAGCTTAATTAAGAATCCAGGGCTTGAATTTTCACTGCCATGTAAACTATCTCACTCGTTTACCCAACGACAGCATCACGTGGAGGTCTTTCTTTCTAAATTGTACCAATTGAAAAATGAGGAGGAATTGGAGGTTCACTTTTTTATCCTCCTAAAGTTCAAATTTGTCTACCAGGAAGCTTGTAGATGAAAATGGATGATCTGATATTTAAATAAGATCTTCAATCTAATGAGTTTTTTTGATTTTTTGAAAACCAACTATTAGAAAAAAACTAAACTAAAAACTAACCCTGTCTAATGGAAGAATCTAGGAAAAAACCGAAGAATTTAGCCTAGGGATAAGTTGGGGCACAATGATTATATGCTTATACGATATACTTGAAGTGAATAACACAAAGTAATTTAAAAGACTTACTTATACATGCTTTTGTAGACTTCATTTTTACCATAGCTAGATAGTGCCAGTTCACATGTCACAGGAGAATTAATATGATCACATTTTTCAGTACTGTTCAGATTCCATGAAACAGTAGCAGATCTTGTTTGGATATTAGAAATCTAAAATGATAGAAATGCAAGGAATATACTTAAAAATCATAATGTGTAATTTTGAATACAGTCTTTTCTTCAGTCTTAATTGATATTAGGTGTATCACTCATAATAGGTGCTGAAATACTGTGATTAAATATCTAGCTATTAATTTTATGTTTAATGGTGCTGCATTGGTTATTATTGCTTGCTGAAGGAGATTATGAAAATTTAACACAGTAAATGCTTCCAATGAATCTTCTTTTAAAGAAAACATCACAGTGATTGCTTGGATTAAGAGTGAAAAGGTAAAAGATCACGAACTCTTCAGTTTAGTTACTTACCACAGGCTTTTCAAGGTTGGAACAGCAGGGCTGTGCTCTGTATTTTGTATTGTTTTCTAAACGTAAGAAAAAAATTCACCTCAAACAATAATAATAATATATTGGCAAAAACAAACCAAAAATTAGATCTATTATCACTCTTCAAATATATCAGTACAATGAAAAATATGAAGACTTAATTACAACTTACATTAAATATTAAATCAAGAATCTGATCAAAATATGTATTAAACTCTAGCAGGATATTTACAACATTCCTTAATTTAAGTAAAATCACACACACTAAGTAGGATTGAAATTTGCAATGGTTCATTAGAATACAACCAGAAAAGCATTCAAGGACATGCAAATTTTACAAGATGACACATTTTTTTTACTATGTGTATTTGTGTGTGTGTGTGTTCCTTGGAATTTTATCCAGGCCCTTTCACATACTAAACAAACTTTCCTCTCTATCACCAGACGCATTCTTACATTTTCCATGATTTTTTAAAAGGCAGCCAAATTATGATTTTGCATACACTAACTGGTCTTCAAAAGAAAAATGAGAGTTCTGTCATTTGCTACAACATATACAAACCCAAAATTTAATAAATAAAATAAGTCAAGCCCAGAAATTATATACATCATGATCTCAGTTATATGTAGAATTTTGTAGAGTTGAAGGAAACATTACCAGGAGTCGATTGGAAGTTAGAGAATGGGTAGTTTCTGAAGAAAGGAAAGAAAATTTTGTATGGGAGAAATAGATTTTTGAGACCTATTGCATGGCAGGGTGACTCTAGGTAATATAATGTCTATTTCAGTATACTGTATATGCATTTCAGATGTTGCAACATAAAAATTTCCAACCAAAATTCTCTTGAAAGAGTCTACCCCCTTCATTCTCCCTTGGAGATTCCATCTTTAGAGCTTCTACTGATTCTTCCTCCCAAACCATCTGCCATCCGGTAGCTCTACCAGTTGCTCTTGAGCCCAGTGCCTTGCTCTCTGAGGGTTGGCACAAGGTAATAAAGTGGAGAATGCTTCTGTTGTCTAGCTCCTCTACACTGTCCTCCTAGCCACAAGAGCATACTTTCTGTCACTAGCCGAGATTCCACATTTCATACCCCTATTCATTTTTTCCTTCTATAACCTAAGTCCTATGAACTCATTTCTCATCTTACTCCACTGTCAATTTCCTCTATTAGGAGGGGGCTTGCTTCATAAACTTGCATCGGTACTTTGTATTTCTTGACTATCAAATTATCTTCAATTTATCCTCCTGTGTCAGACGGCATCTGAGGGTGACTCTCTCACATCCCTCAATCCTGTTTTTGTCTCTAAAATCAGCCCTATTATATAGGACACAGGCCACCTGACATTTGCCCAACACCATCACCTGGAGCTCGTTTCTCAGACTTCCTTCTTGATTTATCTCAATTCTGAAGCATCCATTTTCCTCTGCCAGGTGGCAGGGACTTAAACCCATCACTTCTTACCTCCTTATGAATATCCTATTGCCCACAAACTCCCCAACAATACCATGCTTGTCCTCCACGTTTGAAAGCTCAGTGCCCCTATCACCTTATACAAGACCTTTAGACAGTTCCTAATCTACTCACGTATACCCAACCTTCTACTATTTACTTTTTAAAAAGTTTTTTAAATTTATTTTTTGGTTTTTGAGACAGGGTGTTTCTATGAAACAGTCCTGCCTGTCCTGGAACTTGCTCTGTAGACCAGGCTGGCCCTAAACTCACAGAGATCCACCTGCCTCTGCCTTCCGAGTGCTAGAATGAAAGGCATGTGCCCCCACCACCTGGCCCTACTATTTTCTCACAGATTCCCCGGCATTATTCTCTTTTCAGTCTTGGGCTCAAAGTTGCCTTCTTCACCATTATCCTCTAGCAAATCTTGGAACTTTCTCCTTTCACTTTGACCATCCCTGAATCTAACTTTTCTCAGAGACTTACCTGGATTGTTCTCCACGGAGATTTGGGGATGGCTCCTACCACTTGGGAAAAGTTCTTCAAGAGCACTCTGTTCGTGTTCAGTCTTCTCTCCTCTCTCTTGCTTCCATTCTCCCTCTTTCTCCTCCCAAGTATTCTTGTCTTCTGACAACATTCTACTGTATGACATAGTTCAACTGTTGTGAACTCAATACCAGTTCCTAAGACTGAGAGAGCCCTTAGACTACTTCCTGCTACAGGTCTCCAGCGTTGTGCGCCTCTCCCAACCTTTTTATGCTGCATTCAAAGATGATCTCATGGTCACCTGGTTTCCACTCCAGACCCAGTCACAAGTTCCATCACCCTGAAACAGGCCCTCAGGAAGTTCTGCCCTTGGGCTCCCCACCCCTACTGACCTTTCTTTACCTTTACCTCTATAGTGATCATAGCCAGGTCTTAGTTCTTCAAGCCCAACCAGTATTTCTCTAAACAAATTGAAGTATATATCAACGTGGCCCCTTATGCCACAGTGTTCTAGAAACTGCCATCCTGCTCATCCCTAGTGTCTTCAAAGTTACTTTTCCCTCAACGTCTTTTTTCTCCTCTTCTCTCCCGTGTGCAACATGAGTAGTCATCTTTCACTCTCCTGCACTTCCTCCTTTTGCTCCCAGTCTTGTTACACCACCCTTTTCTAACCTGTAGTTTCTCTCCAGTCCTGCCCTCCACTCAACCCTAGCTACTCTGCTCTCAAATACAGATGACTTCTTTCTTGTAGCCCAATACTTCACAATTACTCTAGGACAATGGAGGGCTCATTAAGGTTGTTTACCACCTCCCATTCCTAGACCTTTGGATTGGTTCATTGAGGGTAGTTTTCTCAGGGAAGGCCCTTATTATGCTAGCTATGATAACAATTTGAGATTGTTATTTTAACTGGTACCACAGGGTACCATGATGATCTTGACTGCTTCCCTCAGCTGTTGGTAGAGGCAGGTTCTCTCTTTTATCAGACTAATTTTCAACAGGCAGAATTCTTTGCGTTCACTATGGTCCTAAACCTAGGTAGATATACCACAATTAGCATCTATACTCATTCTCAGTATACCTATGATATAATTCATTCAAGCACTCCAACTTGGAGAATGTAGTGTTTTCTCACTTCAACAAATACCTTGTTATTGCCAGGAAACTCATCCCTGTCTCCTTGAAGCAACTCCATTGCTAAATGTTCCACTTTGGGGCAAAGACTGCCTAATCCTGGGCCTGCTCCCTGGCCAAGAGCTAGGATGTGCCCCACTGTCTTTCTCCTTTGCCTCCTCTTCTCTCATTTTCAAACTTACCATAGCATTGAAACAGCTCAGATGGTATGGGAGGTCCTTTCCTCTATGTGTTGCTTTTATTGGTCAATGAATAAAGAACTGCTTTGAGCCTATGGGAGAGGCAGACAGAACTAGGCTGGAAAAACTAAGCTGAATGCTGGGAGGAAGAAGGGCAGTGTCAGAGAGATGACATGGAGTCTCCAGTAGAGTTAGATGCTGAAAACTTTACCCGGTAAGCCACAGCCACATGGTGATATACAGATTAATAGAAATGGGTTAAATTAATATATGAGTTAGCTAATAACAAGCTAGAGCTAATGGGACAAGCAGTGATTTAATTAATACAGTTTCTGTGGGATTATTTTGGTTCTGGGTGGCTGGGACAAACAAGTGGCTTCCTTCAACACTCAAATCCCTAAAGACAACCTTTGAGAAGCTTACTAATATCTTAACAATGTAGTACCCCTTCAACTGAAAAACCTTTTCTTCCTCCAAGAAAGTCACTGATACCTTCTAGGCCACTTTCCCCTCTGAAATGTTCTTAGTAAATGTGTTCATTTCACTCTTTTATGGAAGAGAACTTACAGGATCTCTATAAACAGTGTAACATCTGTCATAGGGTCTCTTCATGAGCTACTATTAGGTTCTCACCTTTCTCAACTCATCTTTTTATGGTTCAACTCATACATCCCAAAAGCCACGTCAATTACTTCCTGGTAGTAGTGGGAGTTGACACTTTTACAGGTTTGGTAGAGGCTTTCCCCACTACTAAAAAATTTACTTCCAGTGTGGCCTCTAGGCTACTAAGCAAAATTCTTTCTCACTTAGGGGTACAGTCCTTCCATTTAATATTAAAATGGCTCTGAATTAGTTTTTCAAATAACTCAATGGATCAACTGTGCCCTAAACATTTCTATAGTCCTTATATTCCCTTATTTTCCTTTGGGAAAGGAGTGAGTGTGCGTGCGTGCGAGCACGCGCGCACGAGAGAATGTCATTTTCAAAACAATCTAGCCTGCTTCTCAAATTACATAAAGACTGGGTTTTTCCTGCTCTTAGCATTAATCATATTTCTGGAGGTTATCTATAAGCCCCTCATTCCCAGTCCTTCTGAGTTTAATGTATAGGCACTCCCTTTTGCCCACACCTCCTTCTAATTTGAACCCATCAAAAGATCCTCCTTCTTCACTTCACTATTTTACTTTCTTAAGACCCTCCTGTAGTCCTTTATTAATTCTCACACCCCCAATCCAATCCCTAACCCACTAGACTACTCTTTGCTTCTTATATCTTGGTATGTTGTTTTCATTCTTGTTTCAGTGAGCCCTCTAAATCCCGTATGTGAGAGTCCACATTGGCTCCTTCTAACCACCCCTGTCTCATCCAGATGTTAAGACTGCTCCCATTGGTACCAGTTGTCCTCCATAAAGAAAGTCCCCTCTGCCCCTGGGAACCTGAATACAGTAGATACTAAATAATCTTCCACCTGCACAGGACCTACCTTGATCTGCCTCATTGCATCCACTCCTGTCTACTCCCTAACCCTGTCACTGACCTTTCTTATATCCCTCCCTCTCAGACAGGATTCTGGGTTCTGACCTAAACTTGACTGTTTCACTGCAGATTTCCTGAAAACCTTTAATGATGCCATCCACTCATCTCATTGGTTCTGCCATCACCTGCCTCCAGTAATCAAGGCTTTCCTGAGACCTATCACTGCCTAGCTCTCTTCAGAATTGCGATTCCACCATGCCCGACAGGAGGCTGATGAATCTGAGTAGACGCATGAGGATGGCTAGAATTGAGATGAAGATTTCTGCAAATAGGCCACCAAAATTAGTTTCCAGAGATTTGCCTGTCCATAGCTTCCTCAGTGTCTCTTCATTGGCAGCAATAAAAAGGCCTTTGCCTGACCTACCAAGGCTGCTTATGCAACTCCTGACCAATCTCGCCCATTTCCTTGGATTTTGGCAACTTTGAATCTGATCATTGCGACCTTACACTTACTACTCTTGCTCCAACTCACTGCATTAACATACCTTTCCTTGTTTGATCTGAAGATCTTAGAACAACTGAACATCCAACCACAATCTAGATCAGTTGACTGCCAAGGAAGAGATTTGCTTTCTGACGTCTTCCTCTGCCTTACTTTCCCCAGCCTCTATTCATCTTCTTTCCCTTTCTTCCCTAAAATCTTCTGCTCTTGTTATTAAATTTAGACACATAATGTCTCTTAAATTCTTTCCCTAAAATATTTTAAACTTATCCTTGGATTTGTTCTCTCCAGACTAGCCTGCCACCCATACGCTGTCTCTCACAGCCCTAGCCTTTGGACCTTCCACTCCCCTCTGCACACTCACTCTTAACACCAAATATGGGCACTCAGGGAAGCTCTTCCATATATACTGCTATGCATTTTCCACTGCCTGGCATACACCACTGGAATCTTTAGGATTTGCAGCTCCCAAGGACACATGTGTCTTTCTGTTAACTGTACAAGGGTCTCTACTCTTAACTTCCTTGTGTTCCCAATCTCAACCTACCCTTCTGACACACAAACCTCAGTCCATGTCTTGAACTCTGTCAGTATAGAGTGAACTATAAAATTTCACTAGTTAACACTTCTTTTCAAACAAGTATTATAGTCTCAAAGATGTTGCATGTCAGCTCCTGCCATTTCAAGACCATATCTGTTCCCTAGCTGCTGCTCTTGTGCAGGGTATCAGTATCCTGGAGTCCACCCATAGGCCTGTATGTGCACTTCTGAAAGAACAGTGCTAATTCTTTATTAGGAAGTCAGCTCTGGTAGAGATGTACCATAAAGGATAAGGAATAGAGCCACTGCCTTTCTGTAGGTTCCCACTCAGGGTTAGCATCTTCATTGTCCTGGATATTTCCTTTTACTGTCTCTTTCATAAACATCATCCTGTGTTCCTCTGCCTCTCTTTCTTATGAACCTCTTCCATAAGTTTTGGTTTACAGAACCAGTTTAGTTCCTTTCAGGACAGTGAACCTTTAAGAACACTGAAAAATGTGTTTTTCTTTGAGACCATTCTTTGTAGGACTAATGGCCCTTCCTAGTAATAGGTACCTTTAGAGACTTGGTTTCCTTTACTTCCCACTGAGACTAAATTGAGTGACAATTCTCATGATCAACTTATCTTGAAACCAGTCCCGTTTCTTCTCTGCTGAGGCTGTCAACTGATGAATGAAGGTACTCAGGTTTCTTTGCCCCCACAACATCTGAGTCCACAGAATACAGGGTGATTGTGATGGTATATGACAAGACAATGTCCCTTCTTTTGGATTCAGTTGAAATTGACTAATCCTGTTGTAATTCACTATCAGGGAAGAACTACAGGAGTTTCCTTCCTTTTGAAGTCAATAAAGGACAATGTGAAGTTCCCCCAATCACACCCTTATTTGCCGTTTTCTTCCAGGACCTTATCCATATAGACTCATTTCTTGTCTTACCCTGCTCTCCTTTTTGCTTACCAGGGAGGGCAGTACACTATTAACTTGGGGCATTTCAACTTGTTCTCTCATGCTAGGCTGTAATTGATGGGGACTCCTATTCATTCCTTGATCTTAGCTGAGGCTCCTAGCATGACACCCTTGTATGAGACATAAATATGTTCATAATTTCCCATCATTACCACTTGTCTTGCATCTCTCAAGGACCCTTCTGAACACATTTTGATAACAAAATACTCATTCTTCCCATGGAACTCTGTGTACCAACACCATCATGTTTCATTACCTTTTTTTTTTCTGTTAGTATCATTTATGAGGACTTCCTCCGAATTATGCTTATCCTTACATTCTTGAAACCCAAGAATCGTACTAATGGTGAGTCCATCCACCTAGTAGTCCTGAGGCCTGAGACCCTCCTTTCTCAAATACCCACTGATCACCACTTCATAGTGTTAGA